GGGGGAATGCCATGTGGCTGCTGTCTGCTATGACCTATATGAATATTCTCTCCAGGAGCAGACTCTTGGTCTCCTGGTCCCACCAGCTTTCCCCCTGTCCCTACCTGCAGTGTGTTCTTTTTTTTTTTTTTTTCTTCCTAATTGGTTCTTATCCTGAAACCAGCATCTTCACCTGGATCAAAACCTTTTGCATTTAAAAATACTGATGAAGTCATACAATATTGCAGTTTTTGCTATGCGGTTAAAATCCTGCTGTGATTGCAGGTAAAATTTAGATGTTGGGATGTAAATTATGTGGGAAGAAGACTTAGAAGCTATACCAGGGGGCCCTGGGTACTGTGTGACCCATTTACACAGATTTTTGTGCCCACACGATTGCCCCGTGCGTGGCCCTATAGACCTCATGCTGAACTGCAGGATGCTCTAGGTACCGCCCACCACTTCCTGAGCTCCTGGCTGTGTCCCTTATGACCTTCCAGCCCCGAGTGTTGTAGGAGAGGAAGGGGAGATCCTGACACACCCCCACCAAGCACCCATACTCCCTCCTGCCTCTCTCTCCCTCCTGCATTGTTTCTTTACCTATAGGTCTTTTCTCAGAGCCTCCTTTAAATCCAGAGTGCCCTTTATCCAAAGGACCTCCTGCAGCCTCTCTCCATCCTCTCCACATCTCCCTGACACCACCACCTCACCTTCACCCCTTCACTCAGGCAGCCTGGCTTATGGGATCTAAAGCTGCTTGAGATATGGAACTCTGGATTTTCTAGGGCAGGGCAGGGGTGTAGTAGGGGGAAAACTGATCCAAACAGTGGAATAGGCCGGAGCCTGGAAGCAAATAGGGGCTGTCACAGAAGTCAGAGCCTGAGGCTACTTCTCCCAGATCTAGGCACTAGAGCTGAGTATCCACAGAGGGAGGTGGTCACAAGGCTGACAGGTGGGAGAGGATAGAGGGTGTCCTGCGCTAAAGGCCCAGCCTGGGGCCCAGTCCCATGCATTAGTTAGGGGCTGCATTGAGGGGCTGGGGTGGGGGGGATGCTGCTCTGTGGCCCAGGGGAGACAGGGACCCAGCACCTCTGAAAGCATTTGCCATTGATACATCAGTGGATGGGCTTCAAGGTGGCTTCAGTCTGTGAATTCACAAGATAAAAAGGCTAACCTCTTTTTTTGGCATTCTTTCTATTGGAAACTTTTCTTTATGCTCCCGACAGCTGAATTATAAGCACGGCACCGAGGGCAGGCCTGAGTTTCTACTTTGAGTTGGGGATTAGCTTTCATAGGGTTGTTTTTTTTTTAATGTTTTATTTCTTTCTGAGAGAGAGACAGCGTGAGCAGGGGAGGGTCAGAGAGAGAGGGAGATACAGAATCTGAAGCAGGCTCCAGGCTCTGAGCTAGCTGTCCGCACAGAGCCCAACGCAAGGCTCAATCCCACGAACCGTGAGATCATGACCTGAGATGAAGTCGGATGCTTAACCTACTGAGCCACCCAGATGCCCCTCATAGGTTTTATCTTACCGCCCTTCTTCCCCTTATTTTTTTCTTTTTTGGAGTCCACAATCCAGGGATTCCTCTGTTTGGAGCTATTTTAGCAGAAATATGCTGGCAAGAGCAGGCCAGAAGGGATTCCTGCCTCCAAGGGAGGCTGCTGGGGGACCTTGTGGCAGGCGAGGGGAGCCAGTGTCTACAGCCTCCAAGCCTCCACCTGAACTCGGTGCTGTCTTCCTGGAGCCACTGCGTGTGGCACCTGTACTGTCCCCACACAGGTGCCCCAGGGAAGGATTTCCTGTGTTTCTCATGAGCCTCGGAGCCTTCCAGGGCCACATGTTTCTGGAAGGCCTTCACACAGCCCAGGTTTTCCAAGCACAGCCACAGGGCCCGACAGTCTGGGTGCCTGGGCTTACACGGACTAGGCAGCAGGGGGTATGGGTGTTCACACCCTGGTGCTCAGCAGACCTTGCTCAGATCGGGGTGTGGGGGGATTGAGGGACTGCCTCCAGAAGGCAGGTGTCAAGCTTCTCTGCTGGGTCTGCCAAATCTGTTGTGCATTTGGGGGTTGTAGCTGGTGAGTACACACCCACGAGTGTTTCACGACAGACTGTGGTTAGAGGGCTGCTGAGTGGTGTGATGATTAAACACTGTCTCGGGCATGGGCGTGGGACAGACTTGAACTTGACTGCAGGAGCTTGGGCAAATTCTTAACCTCTGTAAGCCTCAGTTTCCTCACCTGTAAAACCGTGTGTTTCCAGAGGCTGAACCAGATGGCAGGGAGGCTGGGAGGTGCCTAGATCACGGACGCAATAAGATAGCACAGAAGCTGTACCCGGTCTGGTCTGGGACCCTTGGGAAAGCAGAGGCCTCATCTCTCATCACCAGAAGTTGTGCCTGAATGGAGAGTGCAGAGAGACACTCAGGGCATTAAGCAGTTTACTGGGGGACTTTGAGGGTATAGAACGCAACTGTTCTTCTCTGTGTTGCTCAAATTATGAGTAAAAACTCAGTGTCTCTCATCTGTGGAACATGGTGGTTTTTGCAAACTCCACTTCATCCCCAGAACGCCTTTGTAAGAGTTGGGCAGCTGATCGTTTATGGGTGGGGGACCGAGTGGATGGAGTAACTTGCCCCACAGCTGGGGTGGTGGCTGCCCCACGTACACCAGAGAGTCGGTGTCCCTCTCTGCTCCGTCCTGGCTGCATCTGTACAGTATTTGCTTTCCTATCATGGTTTTGCTCTAGCAGAGATGGATATGGAGACCAGAAACAGTACTGGCTCTGCTATCGATGACCAGCAGGATATGGGGCCAGGGAGGGAGGCTGGGAAGTTCAGGGACAGTTTGCAATAGGCCAGCGATGCTTCCTCAGAGGTATGCAAAGAATTCCCATGTCCTTTATGTTACTCTGGGTCACTGGCTGACCTTGGCCCAGAGTGGTTTGTGGCAATACCAGCAGAGTCAGATCGTGGCAGGTCCCCAGCTGGCAGTGTGGAACCTCTAAAACCTTCCCTGGCCTTGGCAGGAATGCCTCACTTTGATGCTTGGTGTGTGGATTACAGACTTTACTGTTTAAATATGTCCAGAGGAACCCTAAGAGCTGTGCTTCCAAAATGAGCAGCAAGAAAGAATTGCACGGGGAAGGCATTTGATTTTACTCCCGTTCTCTCCTTGCCCCCTGCCCCTCCTCTACCCAAATATCTGATTCCAGGACACTGTAGCAGTACTTGGGAAATCCCTGCCAGGCCTCCAGGTAAAGGAGTCTGAAGTTTTTATGACGTTTCTTCTTTCAAAGGCCTATAGGAAAGTCATGAGCATGATTGCTTTACCTGTTACGAATATCTTTCTCGCCTGAGAGTCCAGGCCTTCTGTTTCTCTGCCCCGACTGACAAGGGGAGAGGAGTCCTCACAACATGCATAGCAGGGGCTTGGGCTAGTCTTGTGCAGTGGAGCGGTGATAGCACAGAACCCTACTTATTTTCTGTGCTGACTTGGTCCAGCTGCCTTCCAGGCTAACCAGCCTGTGTGGGGCCGCCATGGCATCTTTTTGCCTTTAAGTTTTAGGAAGTCATTTTAATTTAGTTCATGCTGATTGCATAACCCCCAAGAGGTTCCTTCTTCATTGGAACTTTGCTGCTGTTTCCAGAAACTTCTGGTACTGTGACGTGAGGGCACATAAGTTCATCTACTAGCAGGGGCAGATTTATGGGTGTGTGACCTGTGTAGTCTCACGCAGCCCCATGCTCAGATGGGCCTGTGCTTGGAGGTTAGTGCTGTGCACCTGTAGTCTTGAAATTCTCAGTAGTTTTATCGTCAACTTTATAGTCTGTAAGTGAACTCCAGTGAGACAATGGAGTGTGTCCTGGGGACTTGGAGCCTTGGCCCAAGTTGATCCTAGCAACTACCATCTAGTGCCCCTCAGTGGGTTCTCACCCCTGCCACACTCTGCCCCATTGGGCCTGGACACAAGAAAAGTTGGTGTTAGGTACATGTACCCCATGGCATCTTGGGACCGGACATGGTGGCAGCTGTCCCCACCCTGGGCTGGCAGCTCCACGGCATGTTCAGTGGGTGACTAGATAGGGGCAAGGGTCTGCCCCACCTTGGTCGAGGTACCTGATGCGTTCTGACCACAGAGGCTGTAATAGCCTCAGGGATCAGCTGTCTGCTTCAGTTGGGGTCCCTGAGAAGAAGAAAGACCCTAGATTGCCCTGCCCCAGCTGGGTCACAGCACATCCATCTAGCTTCTGGCAAGAAGGGAACCCAGCAGTGGGTTGTCGCCTGTGCATTCACTCACTTGTCACCAGGGCCCCCACATGCCTGTGAGGTGCTGTGCTCAGCCTGCAAGAACTCTCAAAAAGAGAGATGGGCATAAATAGCAAAGAGACCATCGTGACATGCACAGCATGAATGTACTTAATGTCACTGAACCATATGCCTGAAAGTGATTGCAATCGTAAATGTTCTTTTTTTTTTTTTAATATTTTTTTATTTATTTCTAGGAGAGAGAGACAGCGTGAGCACGGGAGGGTCAGAGAGAGAGGGAGACACAGACTCTGAAACAGGCTCCAGGCTCTGAGCTGGCAGTCAGCACAGAGCCCGACACGGGGCTTGAACCCACGAACCGCGAGATCATGACCTAAGCGAAAGTCGGGTGCTTAACCGACTAAGCCACCCAGGCGCCCTGTAATAGTAAATGTTGTGTGCTTCACCACAATAAAAAAAAAAACTACATGGTATTAAAAAACAAACAAACAAATACCAGAACAGGTGGACAGAGACCATGGAAGGAAGGAAAAGGCTTTATATTGAGTACCTTTAATGGCAGTTTTTTTCCTGCTTTTTGAATAAGGGACCCACATTTTCATTTTGCGCTGAGCCCCCCAAGCTATGTAGCCAGGCCTGCCTTTTGGCCACTTTGTAAAACTCGCTGGTCTTTACCTTTCTAGTGGCCTGCCCTTGAGTCCTGAAAGGGTTTTGCTGAGCAGACTCTTACCTTTCCTCTCTTCTCCCCACACAGGTCTTCTATTGGCTGTGTGCCAGGCCCTGGAGAACACCACGTCCACCCTGAGTGGTGAGTCCCATCCCCTCCACGGGGGACGGTGCGGGAGTACGGGAAGGAAGCAGGCCTTGGCTCGTTTGTAGGCCCTGCCCTCTAAACTTCCTTGGGGGCTCTTGCCCTCTCTGCTCACACAGGGCTGTCCCCTCAGCCCTCGCTGCCCTCTGCCCCAGGGGCCAGGTCGCTCTTCTGGGAAGTCTCCCCTGAAGGAGCAGAAGGGCTGTTGCCCCTCCATCAAAGCTTGCCATCTTCCAGCTCTGCTCACAGTGTGTGTAGGCAAGGGTTGTGGACCCCGGAGCCCGCGGGACCTGAGAGCTCTGAGCCATCCTCCGTTTCCCTGCTCACGTAATCATGCACCTAAAGAGGAAGCCTGATCCCTAAACTCTTTAGTCTGCTACTGCCTGGTGATCTTTGTTTCATTATTTTATGGGTTATCTTTGACATTTCTAGGAGTATTTCCCTTATTACATTTTAAAGATCCTAGATCAGTTTATTGGAAGGTTTGGGAAACGTAGGACGCAGACCTGCCCTGGTCAGAATACCACAAAAGCATCCACTATTGCTCTATGCATCGCTTTTCGCCTTTGTCTTGATGCGCTCATATTTTTATACAGTTAGTCATGGTGAGGGAACTGTTTTGATATCCACTTTTTAAATGCAGGTTTTGGAGGTGTACGTTTTTCCATGTTGCTGGAAAGTCTTGAAATTTACCCTTGTAGTGGTGCCTGGGTGGTTCAGTTGGTTAAGCGTCTGACTTCAGCTCAGGTCATGATCTTACGGTTTGTGAGTTCAGGCCTCGCGTCAGGCTCTGTGCTGACAGCTCAGAGCTGGAGCCTGCTTTGGATTCCGTGTCTCCCTCTCTCTCTCTCTCTCCCTCCCTGGCTCGTGCTCTGTCTCTATCTTTCAAAAATAAATAAACACTTTGAAAATTAAAAAAAAAAAGAAAAAGAAATCTATCCTTGTAAAATGTCCTGATGTTCCACTAAGATGAATATGTGTGATTCAATTAAACATTCCCCATTGGATATTTATGTTACCCCTGCTTTAAATTATGATACTACCTGTTCATGCCTAGAAGCTTTTCCTTCTTAGGTTTCTTTCCTCAGGATATAGCTCTGGGAGCAAGAACAGATATATTTATGACCCTTGTAACAAATTGCCAGATAGCTTTTGAGGGAATCAAGCTAACTTTAATGCCAGTAGTGTATGAATCTGCCAGTTTCACTGTTCCCTTGCTGACAGAGAGTATGCTCTCACCTGTCACTGCTGTGGACCCCTCTGTATCTCCCTGGTTATTTCAGGGAGGTGTCTGTGGTAGGCAGGGCGTGGAGGGTGTTCTTATATATTCATAAATTCTCCAACCAACCACACAGTGTCCTTGGTACTTGGCTCTTCCCTTCCAGACCTTTCCCTCCAAACACACTAGAGGTACCATAGCCACACAGACTGCCCCTTGGAGCTGTTGTCCATGATGCATCTGAACCCTTAAGGTGTCCAAGCCACTTGCTGGCGTATGATGCCACAGAAGAAAATGCCTCACTTTCTCTGTTATATTTTGCGGGGACTGGGGTGGAAGGGTGTGTCTATCCCAAAGCAGTACTTCTGACGTCCAGGAAACCAGAGTTTCCACTTTTTTGTTACCTCCCCCATGACAGAGGGCTCAGATGTGAATATATTGGGGGTAAAGGGGGGCATTGGTTTGTGACTCCACCATGCTGGTCTCAGAATTGTCCTGTCTCCCTTCTAGGATGTATTTACCCCAGGTGCATCCTCAGCCCCTCCTGGTCCTCACTGTAGGACCTGGTGGATTAGAGCCACCTTCTCTACTGAGTCACTCAGTAAGTGATGCAGGCAGTACATTGCAGTGATGGCAAATACTGATGCTACCATCCATGGAGAGAGGGTCCTCCTGGTTATTTTACCCCTCCTTCCAGTCTCAGCCATTCACACAGACAAGAAAGACTTAGGGGATGTTGTATCTGAGCCTGTTCTCTCAGCTGTGGCTCCTGCCAAGACCCTTTAGGGTATCCCCCGTCTCTCCTGGGCAGACACGAGAAGACCTGCTATATTTATCCCAAAATGACTATCCTTGCTGTACTAGTGACCAGCTTCTGTTCTGTTTTTCTGGACTTGATCTGTGAGAATGCCTCTGACATCAACAAGTACTTGAGGTTTTTGTCTTCCTCCTTATGGTGTATCTTCAAAGAACTAGTCACATCCTACTGTGTTGCACATTACCCTATTACTGGCTGAGGGCCACTCTGTGGCCCAATGTAGTAGATGAGAGCAGGGACAATACCACAACTTCTAGTGTCCAGGGGGCCTTGAGATCCCAGAGCTGGTGGGTGGTCTGTGGAGAAGGCAGGTGGGCTGCCTGCCTGGCCTCTGCATTACTCTCTGTTTGATGGGTCAGTTAGCTATGGGTCTTGTGCCCCAGAGAGGTTGATGGATTAGCTCTTTCCATTTTTACTTACTCTCCACCCTGCCTCATTGGACCTAGACATGAGTCCAGAGAGAGCTGGTCTGGAAGACAAGTCCAAATGGCAGTGATGGTGTCATAGCCACCTCTTCAAGGACTAGGGCTTTCCAACTGAATCAGGGTTGTTTGCTTAACTTCCTCTTCCTTTAGAGTGACCTTCCTTCTCTTCGAAGACTCCTCAGGCCCTGGGAAACCTTGACTACTCCCATCCCACCCCCACTCCATTCTTACCAGACGTAACTGAAATCCTGCCGTGGGTGCAGTGCAAATGGGGGACCACCCCACCTGCCACACTCACCACCCCAACATCGAAGTGTGTGTATTGACTTCCTGGCTGATTCAATAAATAAAACTGTTTGTTACCATTAACTATGGAAATTTTCATACACACGATGAAGTAATAGTGAAATCGATCCCCACATACCTGTCACCTGGCTTCAGCAGTTAGCATCGCTATGCCATTTTTCTTTCATCTGTTCTCACACCATTTGGGTTTTTTCCTTTGCTAGGATATTGTAAAGCAAAGCCCATTTCACTGGTAAGTGATACTTCTATCTCACAGATAAGGACTTTAAAAAACAAAACGATATTCTCATTACATCAGTAAAAGTAACAACAATCCATTTTTGTTCAGTCCTTAAATATGGAGGGTAGATGATGCTGCGTTCAATTTTTTGAGCTGTACTTTTGAGCTGAACTTAATTTGCATTTCCATTAATGTTTTCGTATTTTGCTTTCTATTTAATTTCCTTTCGGGTGAACACCGTTTTTGTAAAGTGGCTCATTTGTATACTGAATGACTGACTTTCACGTCTGAGTCCCTCCTAACCCCTTATGACCTGGATGTTGGCAGGCTCACTAAGTCTCAGAGCTATCCGTTGAGATGTAAAGATAGGTTGTTGTAGGACAAAGCCATAAGGCTTTACCCATGATGTGAATGTACAGGTCTCTTCACTCAAGTAATGAGAAACAATAATGATTATAAGAAAGCTTTGATACATTTTGTGCTGGAGCACAGTCATACTCAGGATTCAGCTTTAACTTTTTGATGGAGCAGCATAAAGGGCAAACCACAAACCCTGTATGCCAATCCAAGGTGGTGCATGTACTTGAGAGAACATGGGACTGATCCTGTGTGGCTTTCTTGTGCTTTTTGGAAAAAAAAAAAAAAGTTCCATGCTCTTATTACTTGACAGTTGCCCTTGGCCTTTCTTGTTGAAGTTTCATTGGTTTCTTCCAATCCTACTCTCCCTTAGATCCCCAAATGTGAAGGGTAAATTATGCCAGAGGCAGAGGAAACTGGCATTATTGTTGTCAGTAAATGCTTTTCAGACCTCCATTTTGGGTGGGATGCTGGAGCAATACACGCCTTAGGCTGGAGGTCAGGAATGCTGTGCCAGGGCCCAGCTGGTCTCAGTTTTGCTAAGACCCTGGGCAAGTTGTTCATCTGGTTCCTGTTTGGATCTGAGTTTCCTCATCCATTGGACTTGAATCAGGAATAGCCTATAAGATTTTTCACAGGACCACTCTGATAAATTGGTAGAGACTGCTTGGAAAGCTTTGTTCGGAAGGGTTATCACGCTGCCTTGAGGCCATTAGGAAATATGGCCGTGATCAGTTATTGGTGATGCCTGCCATGGACCCAAGGTGGGGAAGCCGTGGTGTCACTGCCATGTATTTAATTCTCTTGGAACTGGGTGCTCTTTTACATTTCAGTTCTAACGTTCTAGTTGAAGAAGCAGTTCTCCTCTATCCTTGTCCTCAAGGAGCCGACCACACAGGTGACAAGAGAGCATGGGAATCCATAAATGCGAGCCTCATAACGACCTGAGGCCACCTCAGCTGACTGCTTCGTGGGTGATTTAGACAATAATTGCTGTGGGAGTGAAGTCAATAGTTGGAGGTTAGGACAGAAAATTTGTAACTGGTTGGTTGTTAATTTGTAAAGCACGCAGGGAAACATAGCTAGAGGCAGAATGAGGGCGACAGCACCTACAGCTTAGAGCATCCATCACACCCTCCCAAGGAAGGAGTTATGACCCATCTTCAAAAGGCACCTTTTAATGCCCCTTAAAAGGGACAGAATGCACCCGGTTAAGTTGTTGGGTGGCTCCTTGCTTAACCCTCCAAAGTGTTACGCATTTCCCAGGCCGCTCATCTGGTTCTCATGTTTTCATGAGACTCACTCTAATGACCAAGGGGTGTGGTGAGGGCCTTGCTCAGACACCTGGCAGCAGGCTCCGGGCTTTGCTCTGCTATCTGCCTTTCTTGATCTGTGTGCCTGTTTAAGCCTCTGAACTTCTCTTTCCTCTAGCCTGTGTATGATACCACCTATCTGGGATCGGGGAGCCTCTGAAGGCTCGCTTGAGTTAGGGTCTGGGAGACTTTTCAGAGGTGGTGGTGAAAGAAGATGGTGAAGATGTTCTGTGGGGGTGTCATTCATGGGGAAGGTCACAGGTTGGCTGGCTCGGGGAGGTGGTCAGATTTGGGTGAGGATATTGGGCTTAACAATGTAGAGAGGGCAAGCTCGGGCTGG